TCTTTTCAACATTTTCTGAAAAGCTCCATTTGTTTATTGTAAATATGCTTTAAGGATAAGCTTTCTCTCTTTTTTTGTAATCCAAGGACATGGATTCTTGATTTGTCCTCTTTAAAATATTCATCCATTATCTAACTTTAACTGATCATAGAATCATCTTTTTAAAAAAGGAATCTTTAATTTATTTAAGAGAAAAATGAAATATGAATACATCTTTTATCTTAATTTAAACTTATTTTTGGTTTTAAACTGATGAAACATAAAGGGGTTTAAAACAATCTTTATGTTAGAATGGCTATACCTTCTTATATCATTAAATTTTTATTTTGATTTTTCAAGAAAATCTTAGTATTAATAACTTCCTAATACATGAGTTACTAAATTAAAGAAATATCTAAACATGTAATAAAAAAGAAAGAAGGAAAAAACCCATCTTTTTCCCTTACCTAAAGAAGGCCGCCTAGAAAATGATGAAAGTAACTTTATTACTTTTAAGAAATAAAAGTGAAGAGAAATGTAGCTTTGCTCGTTGGAGAGCTTAATTGAAAGAACATTAAACAATTTAAGGGCTTAAATGTGATTTAGTTGCGTCTGTAAAAATCTAAAATCAAACCCCAAAAAAAAAAAAAAATTCTGTTTATTTATTCCAAGTTCCAACAGGCCGAGATTATCTTGTGGGCTCATAAGATTTTAGCTGATAGATTAGACTATGACTAAAATATTCAATACGTTGGGCTGGACCTGTGTTATTCGAGCACATGCAAAATCAACGGGCATGCACAGTCGCTCTCATGTATGGCTTACGCATAGAAATCATCGAACTCAGAAGAAAACTGCCACTTCATTCATCTTCTTCTCTTAGCTGACAGCCCTGTGCCTGTGTGTGTAAAGATCTTTCCTTTAACCTCTCTTCTCTCTAAATATGGCAGCTTTTTCGAATTCAGTGGTTTTTTCTAGAATCCCCAAGGCACAGCTCTCATCTGGTAACAACCCCATCTCACATTTCTATTGTTATGAATCATTCTTTCTTTTTCTGATTCGTTTTAGTTAGTAATTGGCCAAGCATTTAATTTCTAGTTCATCTTGGTGAGTAAAGATTCTAATTTACGTGTTTTTGTAAAGATTTTAATGGGAAAAATTGGGTATGAAAAGGGAGAATTCATGAATCGGTGTGACTTGAACCATAGGTAGTATCATCTTTGTTTTCTTTGAAATTCAAAGCTTTGTTAAAGCTGCGTTTGGTGGATTGGTGAATGTATTATGTTTGTTTGTACCAAATTCATTAAGAAGACAGTTCAATTTTCTTCTTTTCTGTTTTGCTTCCTAGGCTCTGCTCTAAAGCTACAGGAACAATGTCTTGGGAGTGTTTGCCTTGCCAACTTGGCATTTAATTCAATTCTTCAAGGGAAAGAGAAACTTTCCAGCTCAAGGAGGTCATTAAAAATTCAAGCTGCTTATAGGTATCATCTCGTCAGTCGCTTTTAGTGATTGCTTTGCGGTTCTTTCATGCAAGCTCAGAATCCATGTTTGATTATAGGAATCCACATATGTTGTTATGCACTTGCTTTAGATCAATTCACTAGATCTGTTGAATTTATAGTAATTTATGTTGGTGATGGTGGCATACAAGTTTGGCTTAAGTTGTGAATAAAAGTCTTCTGCTTCTTGTGTTCCTACAGAGATGATGGAAGGCCAAGCAGTGCAAGCATCTTTGTTGGTGGTTTTGTCTTGGGAGGAGTCATAGTTAGTGCACTGGGATGTGTATTTGCTTCTCAGGTCATATTACCTTCTAATGATTGTTTAAGTGGTTATTTTGAGGCCATGAATCAAATGTGTTTTTGGTTTCTAGTTGTCTACCCATTATACATGTCTTTCGTCCTTCATAATTGAAATGATCCTGCAGGATCTTAGAAGGGTTGTTCTTTTTTCTTATACCTCATCACTACTTTTTCGGTTCGACAAAGAAAAGAAACAAGCAGCTATACTAAAGGGACATGGTTTTAGGCTGTGGAATCTTCCCATCTTGAACTTCTGTGCCATGCAATTTGTCTTAGCCCTGTGCTTCCTTGCACTTGCAGCATGTGTCTAAATCTCCATTCTGATTGCCTTCTGCAGATCAGCAATGCACTAGCTGGAGTCAACAGAAGAGATATAATGAAGAAACTGCCCAAATTCATATATGATGAAGAAAAAGCTTTGGAAGTGAGCATCTCTTGACTCTTCTCTGTTTTTAATTGCTGGCATCCCATGAACATTGTACTCACCTTTGCTTCATTAATCATGTTATAACCTTTTCTCTGATATTCTTTTTGTACTCTTAAACTTCTTGATTCAAGATCTTTCCTTTCTCTAGTTTGATTGCACTTTACCTTTTTTTCTTTTCCATTTCGAATTCATTTCTTCTATGACAAAATTTGTCAGATTTTATGCATTGGACAGTTCTGAATCCGTTCAATAATTTCTCCCTTATTTCTGCTTGAAATTATTGAATCCCTGAACAATTATCTTGATTAATCTGCAGTTTTTATGATTGCTTCATGGCTCTTGATTTTGATGGCAAACTGATTATATATGACTTTTTGTTTGGCAGAAAAAACGTAAGATACTGTCTGAGAAGATTTATCAACTAAACTTAGCTATTGATGAGATTTCTGCTCAGATCCGATCTGAAGATGCCCCAAATAGAGTTCCTGTCAACTCCAATGAAGTAGAATCTACTGTATGAATTCTCTTTTATTTTAAGTTGTGCTATTACTGATCGTTGGTTTCCTTGTAAGGAAGTAATTATTGTAATGTTCTCCAAATTCTCCTCAATGAACAGTGTACTACCCTCTGAATGTTGCAGATATTGGATGAATATACATATTCTGCCTTGAACTGTGGTAAAAAGGAAAAAAGATATTTGAGTTGTATTTTTCTACTTAATCTAAAACAAAATTTTGCCTTTTTGGTATCTCTGAGAAGCTTTTGTTGAGCCAACATGTAGTTTACTAACTACATGCTTATGAATAAGCATGTAAATCATCCTCACAATATATAGATATTTAATTTCCTATGGATGTTCACCACTAACCAAAATGATCTCCCAATTGCCAGAAAATTGCTTGTAAAAAGTCTGTTGCATGGGACCAGCATGAACCCAAGGTCATTCTGTCTTCTTGAAAATCTGAAATTCATACCTATAGATATTGTTTCTGGATTTTTAAAAAAGTGTGATGCAATTTAAATTATATTGAATTTAGATTGTATTGAATTATACCATATTAACGAATGAATAGGGGTAGACTCCTTGATATTAGGGATTCCTCTCTACTCAATAGTTTTTATTTTACAGTTGTTTATTAATAATTTATTTATTTCTTTATTATTATTTTTTTTTTGCAGTTGTTTGTGGCCATGTTGAAAACAATGAAAGGGCAGTTTAGGGAAAACGAGAATATCTTTGTGGCTCAAATTATGGGCTTGCATGCTCAGATGTTGTCTTATCCTTTGCATCTGCTGCACTCTCTATTCCAACCACACATTTCTTGAATTCACTTGCAACCATAATATACACGAAGGAAAAAACGAAATTCAATCAACTGTATAAATACTTGGGGAAGGTGGTTTTTGGTTCTAGTTGCAGCCATGGCCACTCACGCAGGTCTAGCTCCTTCAAGAATCCGCACAAGCACCAAGTTTCCATCTAAGAGCAGCTCCTTCCCAACCCAATGCATTTCTAAGGTCTATCCTTTTTCTTCTTGGTTTCCTTTTTTCCCTTAAGTTTTCTGGGATATTCATTTCTGATTTTGTTTTGCAGAGGCTGGAAGTAGCTGAGTTTTCTGGTCTCCGTTCCTGCTCTTGCGTGACATATGCTACAAACGCCAAAGGAACTTCATTTTCTGAGGTGGTGGCTGCTCAGCTTACTCCTAAGGTTGATTGCCTGCTTTAGCTTTTTGATCTGTTCTGAGTTTTCTTTCTTGTTTTTTGCTTGTGCACAAAGATTAGACCAGTGATACTAATATCTTTCTAAAAATGTTCAGTGCTTTCTTGCAATATCTGGCACAATTAAGCTGTTCTGGAATTCTGAGTCCATATAAACACTTGTTTGTGTATTCTAATAGTCTCGTCTTTTTTTAAAAGTAAAACAATTGTTCAGATCTTCTGAGCTTTGGATTAGGCTGCATGAAAGGAAATTTCCCTGCCTTCAACTTTTCATGAATCTCATGAGGTCTTCTATGAAAGAAAAAGCACATCATCCTTGTGAATAATCAGCCATATAGTAAAAATATACAAAAAAAAAAAAATGTACAAAGTAATTTCAACATGAACCTTATGTTCCTAAAATATAGTTTGTTGTGAAGCACCATTGTTGTTGTTTTGACTTCTGATGGGTATTTCCAAATTTAGACAGTAGCATCAGCCCCTGTTAGGAGAGAAACAGTTGCCAAATTGAAGGTTGCAATCAATGGATTTGGACGCATTGGCAGAAACTTCCTTCGGTGTTGGCATGGCCGGAAAGACTCACCCCTTGATGTGGTTGTTGTTAATGACAGCGGTGGTGTCAAGAATGTAAGTAACTGACAGTTTCTCTGACTATAGTTAACGTTAGCATGTGATATTAATTAGTTACATTCATCAACTTCTGGTGTGCCATATAAACACAGGCTTCACACCTGTTGAAATACGATTCAATGCTTGGAACTTTCAAAGCAGAAGTCAAAATTGTGGATGATACAACCATTAGTGTTGACGGCAAGCCAATTAAGGTTGTCTCTAACAGGGATCCTCTCAAGCTTCCGTGGGCTGATCTTGGCATTGATATTGTCATTGAGGTGGGTTCTTGCACCACTTTCTCGTCAATTACAGTTCTCTAAAGCATAGTTTCTCACCAGCACAAACACTTCAGGTTCCAGTTTCATAGTAGCAATCTTTTCAACAACTCTCCTGGATTACTGAACTATGCAAAGGGATGGAAATTTAATTAATGACAAAATTTTAGCAGTCTTTTTAGATGACTGGATAAATTCATATGCATTCTTCAGGGAACAGGAGTTTTTGTGGATGGCCCTGGAGCTGGGAAGCACATTCAAGCTGGTGCTAAGAAAGTTATCATCACTGCTCCAGCAAAAGGTGCAGACATTCCAACTTATGTTGTTGGAGTC